AAACCTGGCACATCATACCTGTTTTTCAGTCAAGTGCATAAAGCTATGTCATAAAACCATAACAAATTTAAACACGTTTCATTTGATTGCATTTTCTCTTTATGCAAGTACTCATTATAGTTAAGAAAAAAGCAATTTGAGGCACATCTTTAGAAATGGTAATGCCACTGCAGCAGCAGCAGTCCAATGGTTTACCAAAAATTAAAGGGTATTAATAGCCATGCAATCCCTTTACTGATTAAGTCATTTATTCTTTTGGGGAATAATCAAACCTTGTTTTTGCAATGACCTTTGGCAATCTTTAATCACATCACATTAAGGTGCCTACATCACATTTAGTTACCAACTACTTCACCACTTAAAATCCATTCATGCCTGAGGCCATTCTGGTTGCAGCAAAACCCAGCATTCATAATCTTTACAAACAACAATTCACTTGACCATGCAAACTTTCAAGAGCTTTTAAACTGATCTGCATAAAAATGGCAGAGAAGATATTGTTCATGTCATGCCATTTGAAGCTATACTTATTCTTGAAATGATGCCCACCTGCACCTATTTTTGAACATAGAGCACACAAACAATAGAAGCATTGCCAAGTTTTTACCCTCAGAATTTCAACACAGGTGATTCATCCAGAGCACTAAGTAAGTTAACAGTGACCTTGCCAATACATGTGCCAAAACGATGACCCAATTGCCTCAAGTGCCAGAACTGTCTACAAAATTGATTCAATGTCACGTGTTGCAAACACATTCCCAGGAGCAAGCGATGGAAACAGTGATGGGATCAACGGTTAAAATGTCAATTAGAATGACTTAGAAGTGACAGCAGCATGCCAAAATCAGTAGCAGACCAAACTGATTTACGCCCATTGCTGGTGCGCCAGATCCACGCCGACTTTGTCCGGCGCCGCGGATGCTCACAATCCGATCCGCGAACGGATCCTTTGAGCTTTTAATGATGCTGACACGTCCCTTTACTAACCGACGATTCTAACTCTAATCAGAACGGCTTTCAAATAACAAACGGGCAGGCAGGCAGACTTAATCTGTAAGTCTCGGCGGTTTTGTGCTTGCATCAGAACGCCGGGAGGTCGCTTTTGAGTTAGCATGTAGAACGAACCTGGACTAACCCGAATGGTTGACGGAAGATACAAAGAAGACTTAAGAGGTTATGTAGTTGAAACAAAGAGAGATCCAAGACAAAACACGGCGGCGGCCCGATCCGACGACCACGCCGACACCGACTCCCGCCAAACCTCCAGAACCGGAAGTGACCTTGAGGGAAGTAGAGCAGATGCTAATCGGAAACATTTCCAGCTGTGCGGTAGAATTATAACGCTTTGGCTTAACACATGCCAGATTTTAATTTTATCCTTTGCCATCCATGAGTTCTCCATAAACTGAAAGAAAAAAGGAATCCAATTAAACTTTTCGTTCCTTGATAAGACCTCTCTAGAGAAGAACACTACTAAGTTAATGTCATGGTAAGTTTATGCGCGAACTTCTACGTTGAATTGGGGAGGTCGCCAGGTCCTTAAAATGACAGTCATTCTAAGTGTTGGCGCATTCACAAAAGATGCAAGTTCTGGGGGACACTCATGACTATTTGGGGCCGTTCCGTGCATAGTAGCGGGGGTGTGGATCTTGGGAGCTGCCGTGGGACCCTGGGCAGATAAATGCCCTCTTGCTCTGCGGTGACTGATTCGCTGATTGTCCCTCTCCCGGTTGCAAAGACGGGTCGGCGTCGGGATTGCGGCGGGCACGTCCTGGGCGCAGACTGCGGTGTCGGGTTAATGAGACGACTGAGAATGGTCTTTTCCGGTGGAGGTGGTCACGACACAGGACCGTTTCACGTGCAGTGGAGTTGACTTGTGGCGATGTGGCTACGGTGGGATGTCTCTTTCATTGGGGCTTTACGACGCACCCAGCTGCTGAGGCTACATGGCGTCGCCCGCCTTTCACTCTGGCAGGAAGGGCGGGCACCGCGGAGAATCGAACCCCGTACCTCTGGTTTCCCAGACGCGCAGTGGTTAACGCGGACGCATTAGCCTCTTCACCACCGGCACCATTACGGTGAGACGAGCGCTGGCTGGCGCCGTCTGCTCAGCCGCGGGTGAGGCGCAATTGCTGCCAGTGCCACGATGAATGATGAACATCACTAGCGAGCCCGGATGGACTGGATCAGGCTAATGACGCTTCAGCGGCAGTAGTTATCACAAGCCTCGCGGTGAGCGGCTGGGCTCCATCGTGGCAGCACGTAGCCGGAGCGAGCGTAGATAGCCAGATCGGCGAAAGGCGCATTTCCGAATTGGTGTGATAGATGGGCTACACCGCTACCACCAATGTAACTTTTGGTGTTCCGAAGTCGCGCCTCCGGCTCGCTGGTGCACATAGTACGTCCAAAGTCACTTCTGTACTTGATACCCGTCACGGGTACTCGCCACAGTACGCTCCGCCGGCGCGTCCGTTCTCACGCCGGCGGCTCTTAGAATCTTCCCTTTGCTACCGCCTCCACATCTGGCCCCCGCGGCCGCGTCCCTCGCACGGGGCGTCTGGGGCAGGAGGAGGAGAACGCGAGCGCCTCTAAGCGGCGCTCGCCAAACTACGCAAACATTCACTGGCTAGCACATACGTGTTCTCTGACACCACACTGCCCCCTTATCTTTTCGAGAACTGTGAGAGCCAGAGTAACAAACCTACCAGGATAGATGGATGCTGCAGGGGGGCACGTTCCGTGAAAACATCATGACCTTAGGCTAATGTCATCAGGGTCAAAAAGGTCGAACACGTCCAATTTTGAGTGTTTTACTCGGCTTGTCTCGTCATTCTTGTGAGTCGCTGCGACTTCGTTTAAGTGCTCCAAGATTGGACTACTTTTCTGACGGCGGTATACGACACAGTATAGATGTAGCAGTGAATGACTTCACCCCGCTCCAGAGTGGTGCGGTCGGTCGGTCGATTGGCTGACCGGCCGGGCGGACGGCCGATCGGACGCAGTGGGCTTTCTGTGAAAACGACAATCATGAATACTAGGAGCGCATCAGCGCCTATTTTCACGCTCTGGTGCTGGCTACGTTATTACCTTCTCGTCGGTCAGTGACTTCACTTTTTCCGGTCGATTTTTTTCTTTGCCTTGAGCGACGCGCTAGGGCTTTATTTGCAGGTAAACGAAAAATGTACAGATATTCCTGTTCAATCTAGACATATGCACCAAAAATAGGAAGGGGGGGATTCTGCTCCTCCCTCCACTGGACGTGTGAATACATCCCAAAGATTTGGTGCCGAAGTAATATACCCTGGGGCTATATTTGCGCATTCCCCGTCGAGAAAGAATGCCGATGACGCCGACGCACTAGCGCAGGCGGATGCATGCCGGAATGGTCACGGTTCTTCGAGATGGGCACAGCCCGCTGCTGAAGCGCTCTGGTGACCTTGGCGACCATCGATTTGTAATGTCCTTGTTAGAACATGGCTGCTTGGGTTACGTCAAAGGCCACCCAAAGCCGAACACAACCAGCTGGCAGGCAAAACACTTTACGGACAACTCGACTCAGAGCTTCGGGTCTTTCGCATTGGGTCTTCATCAAAATCTTCCCCAACCAATGCGCAATGGTCAACAACACCTACCCTTTTCAGAACAAGTCCGAGTGGGTCAGGTGAAAGGTCAACAAGAGCTATCGAGAAAGTCCAAATTAAGTTGCACACAACACTAAGCCCCGAGCCTATAGAACCGATCACTTCGAAACCTTAACCATTTGGTATAACATGGTCTCCAGTGTAACCTCTCCAGGGCATGGTGACATGGGGTCAGGTCGAAGGTCACTAGTAATGCCCGAAACCGTATCGATTTGCTCGATCGGCACAGATCTTGTGGCGATCAGCCCCATAGACTCGGGTCAGGGAGTTGTCTGCGGCCAATTTTCGCAGCTTCCGGTGTCGATCATTCGCGTGATCCCAGACCATCATGCCATACAAGGGTAAGTTATGGACCATGATGCATCGATCGTTGAACTTTTGTGGCGATAAGCGCCACAGGCCGCTTATCCGCGGCACATCCGGTTGCCGATAATCTTATTCTTGTTTCTGATGTTTTGGGGGCAAAATTTGACCCAACCCCAGGTCGAAGTTCATGATTCAGTCATCATGATCTGGAAAGGACAGATCGCCAACTGTTTGTAGCGTGGGATGGTAAGGTTTTCGCAACGATCGCTCCATAGCCTCGGAGCACTGGGCTGTCAACAAGCTTTGTCATTGGCCTAGTCTCAGCCAAACAACCGTATCCGAGACACCAGCTTTGAGTCATAACAAATGCCAAGCAACCGAAATATACCGCTGTAGCGTATATCTGAATAGAGTTGCTCGACGAAAGCACCGTGATAACCACATTACGGGACGAGATCACAGCGCTGTGCTGGACGAAACATCAAACCACGGTTCTTTAAACTGCTCCGGCCGGCGGCCTTCAATCCTTTGTGGTTTATTTTCCCGACTTGCTAACTGTCCTGTCCAGGCGAATATTTCGCGGGTGGACGCTGTCCGCCCACTGCGTGTTTGGCGAACGTTGGCATCGTGCGTCCGCCAGTTGAGGAGAGGCACACGTGAGTCGAGGACCGTGCCACTTCCGGGCAAGGGACGGGACCACCCAACAAAAGCATCGGCCTCAGGCGATGGGCGCCCCGGCGGCAGCCGAACTCGCAGCTGTGATCACGTCGAACGTCAGATGCTGAATCTGCTTTGTTGAACACATATAGCAGTCGTGGCATTTGTATTATCTAAGAAGACAACTGAAAAAGTCAACAATGATGATGATGATTCAGGCTTCACGGCGCGCCGGCTTCCCTGGCCATATGATGTCCATAAAGCCAACGTTTATACATGAACAAACATAGCGTTGGCATCACCACAGCCACAACGGTTCAGTGCGACTCAACCTTCCGAACAAGGCTCGATAACAAATACTATCGTTATCGGCCAAGCGCATGCTCATCTATGCACTTACGCCTTCGGGATTTCTGCCGCCACGGTTTCCAGCCGCGTACAGCCAGCGGCGCACCCCGTGTGACGAAGGCACAAACACTACTTCACAAGACAGACGACATAACCGCCTGTTTATACTGTAGTCCTCGGTATCCACACGCACCAGCCCGCCACGCCAGGTCGCTACCGGTCGCGGTGGTGCCGGTGGCGATGGCGATGCCTCTCGCCGTCCGCCCCGCCGCTCCCCGCTGCGGCGTCGGTGGCGACGCGGCTCGGGTTCGACGCCGCAGTCCGGCGAGGCGTCGCGCTCCGAGCGCCGCCGGTCCGGCCGACGGTCGGGACCGCGCTGGGCCCGGCTGGCCGCGGCGGCATCCCGACTCGGCCGGCGGTCTCGGTCCCGGCGGTCCGGGTCCCGACGTTCCGGGTCCTGACGGTCCGGGTCCCGGCGGTCCGGGTCCCGGCGGTCCGGGTCCCGACGTTCCGGGTCCTCACAGTCCGGGTCCCGGCGATCAGGGTCCCTACGGTCCGGGTCCCGGCGGTCCGGGTCCGAGCGGTCAGGGTCCCGACGGTCTCGGTCCCGACGGTCTGGGCCCTGACGTTCCGGGTCCTGACGGTCCGGGTCCCGGCGGTCCGGGTCCCAGCGGTCCGGGTCGTCCCGGCCGGACCGGCGCGGTACGGCCGAATCATCGTGGTCCAACCGACGGGACGCGCCGGAGCCGTCCCGGTCGGACCGGTGCGACGCTGCGCCTCCGTCCCGGTCAGGATGTCGGGACCCCGCCGCCCCCTCCCAGCCCCGGACGGCCGGGGGGTTGAGGACGAAGGGTCGCGCCACGCCGCCGAAGCGCAGCTGACCTGACTCCTTCCTGCCGCCGAGACCGCCACCTGCGAGCATAAAGACACGACGCTTATAGTGGCCCGGTTGACAAGATGCGCATGAGTTCCTTCAAGACAGATAACAGCTCATCCTCACCTCCCACTAAGTGGGTTCTTCGACTGACAAAGACGGGAGAGAATGTGCGGCCCAGAGTGGCGGCAGCCCCCCTCCCCCACCCCACCCACACACGCAACTCACCAAGCCGGCGCGGTCGCCAGCCGGGCAGGCCGCGGCTGAACTCGGGCTCAACCACCACGTCGGCCCCCGGCGATACAAAGGCGGCGGCAGGCGGCGCGCGCGGCGGCCGCGTCCCGCCGCCGGTTGAACACGACGAACGCGTAGCCTCGGGGCGCGCCCGTCACCAGGTCCCGGAGCAGGCGGATCTCACGCAGTTCGCCGAACCGGCCGAACGCCTGCGGGCGGCGGCCGGGGTGCTGAGGCGGGGGACGACCAGGGAGAGGGGGGGGGGGGGGAGGCACGACGCGGGCTTTTGTGGCGCGTCTAAAGGCAGCTGCAGCGCCGACCCGCCGTGACTCCGCGTCGACACGCGGTGCTGGTGTGCCGATACCATCGGAATGGGGACTAAAGAGCATGTGGGGCATGACACGAATCAAATTGCACGTTTAGACGCCAGGTCTTCTAACCAGTGGATAGTGTGACCCGTTCCGGACTGAACTACACGTGCGCATGGCGCGTGAAGGCACACTGGCAAACAGGCGTAAAATTTGACACGCTTTCTAATGTGCCCCTCCAGACTCACCGAAAAAGTCTCATCGTCAGCCGTGCTGTGGGGCTCACGAAGGGGATCAGAAGATTGCTCGCGATGATAACATGGCACGACCACAACCGGAAGAACATTCGGGGTCCAATGAACACTCTGGAGACGGGAAATCAACTTTGTACACGACTCATCTTAAATGGTGCGACATGCGCTGTTTTTTACAACAAACTACAATCGCATGTTTCCAGGCGCACACACCTGCAGTGGTTTCAACCCACCTTCTCTATATCAGCCTCCTCAGTTTCACGAGAAAGCCTTGCCACAAACAATGTCCTTTCTTCAGATCCCTTTACATCCCTTGGCTTCTGATAGGTGGCAGCTAGGGCCCGACTGGCAGCTTTGTCATAGGGCAAAACACCAGATCTGTCCTTGTAGCCAGCTTCGATCGGACAGTAATAATCAGTAAAAAAACGTCCTGGTGGTGGCTTCCTGTGGTCCATGTCTGAAAGCAGATCATGGAAACAGCTTTTAAGGAACTGATTGACATTTATACAGGTTTGGAACTAAGACAGCCATTTTCAGGGTCATTCACTCCAGTTGTAGACCATGTCCTTTTCAAGGTTTCAAATCATTTTGTTTCTGAGCCTGATGCACATGAACTTAAGCATCATACGACACAATGCATATGGGCTGGTCACTCAGACATGTATGCAGTCATAAAAGCATCATGTGATTACCACCATGAACCTCTCTGGTTTTGAAGCATATGTGGTCCAGAAATGTATGACCACTAAAAAAATCATGTCTGCATTGATGCTGCACCAAAGGTCCCCACAACAGACAGGCATTGGCTAATAGTTGCATTTTGCTGTCTCTGCTAATATGTCTCCAAGACAAGTTTTGCCATAGTTTACAGAAACCTCATCTTCTTTACCAAAAGATCCTGATGAGTGACATGAGCTTGTACAGAATCCTGTCAGGAGAAGCTGTTTTGGAGTGGAGCTTAGGGACATGCTCCAGGGGTAAGAGCATTACAACTGTGTTGTGGAAAATTACAAATCAGAACTTCATGCTGATCCTACATTTTGGACACCATTTAACCAGCCCAGTGCTGTGAACCATTGCATGTTTGCTTAGGGAAGTGGATCAGCATACACCCTTCAAGAAAAGCCATAAAAAATGCCATACCCACAGAAATACTTATTTGGGGTTGTAGATAGAGAGATAGACCATTAGGCAATGTCTATACTGTTTAAGATACTCATGCTCTTTAAATTTACAAGAGGTTCTTTGAGTTTAAAATGTAAACCACCAGCGCCAACCAAAAATTTTAAGTCTGGCAAAACTTGGTCAACTATATAGATTTCTCTACAGAATTTCATGCTACCTTCTGACTTGACCTGGATAGAGGCTATGCTGATGCAAAGTCTTAATCTTAACAGGCTTCCTGCCATTGCTCATCTGCCCGCATGACCCTAGCTTATGGCTGACATAGCTCACAGCCTCACTGTTCACAATCACAATCACAATCACAATCACAAACTTCACACCAAGTTGCTCCCTTTTTCAGTGGGCCAATGCGAGGTCTTTTTTCTTTTCCGCGACACATCTAGAGCCACTTTCGATGGATGGACAATTATATACAGCTTAAGGCCAGGCAAGGATTACATTAAACCGGCTTTTGATGTCCGATGCAGCCTCCGGTATTTTGAAATTACCTTATGTTAATCTGGTCGATTATTCTCCAGAAAGGCCAAAACGAGAAAAACCAACTGCAGCAACAGATCAATTTGCTTCCCCACGACACAACACGCATTCAATACACTAGAATAACAATCGCGCCTCCCCACCGCCCGCCCCGCCAGGCTCCTCCGATGCAGCGAGTGGAAGCGGCGGCCTCAGCTCCTTTCGCCCAGCTGACTTTGGAACGTCTCGGACCACAATCGAAACCTTCGCGTAGCTTACCCTCCGACTGATAATTTCCAGTCCGGAAGGTAACTAGAATCCTAGTATAAACTTTTTAAATCTCTTCAAAACAAGTCTTACTCCTTTTTATTTCTTCTAATTTTGTTCTAAAACCAATTCAGCTTTGAAAAATTTTGGAGGGCACTAATTTTGATTCGTTAAAAGGTTGTTTCAAGAGTTCTCTAGCCATTGTATTGCCTTGGTAAAGTATACTGAGTTTGGTAAACTAGTGTTTGCAATTTGGCAAAAAACCCTAAACATTGCTGTTCGTAGCAAAGAGTACGCTGATGACAGCGTGACATTTTATCCTTGTGATTGGTGATAATTTGTTCACGGCAAACATGATTCAGGTGAAAAACACGAGCTCAATCCGCATCAGTAAACATTTGATGTCAATTAAGTACACAGAGCCGTGACAGGGCGAATCTGTGCGGATAGGGGATGGTTTGTGTACCTGCCTTTAATAGTTTTATCATCTTTTGTTGTCAAAGTCGTCTTGGTGCATTCCAAGATAAATAGCAAGCTGTATTACATTCTTTTGGTAGACATGGATGCAGAAATGATATGATCAGTCGTATAACGGTGAGTGTGCTTACAACTGTCTCCGTCTTAAAACCGGGGTTCGGAATGATGTTTGGAGAATGGTGAACATGTCTACCCATCTCCCTTTATGATGCCAACACCTTTTCATCATGTTTATATTCTATTGATAACTCTCATTAGTACTGACTTTCATATGTTACGACTTATCTGATAGTATTTGATGTTTTTGTCATTAGCCATCATTCTGCAGTTGCTTGCACATTCCTTTTTGTGGCATAGGTCACTTGTAGACTGCATAGATTACATAGATTGTGGTCACTTGTGGACCACATAGATAGATTACTACATCAAAAGATTTCTGCAGGGTTTCTAATAGATGATAAAAATAATGGTGGTACTGGTGCGCTGGTCAGCATGGCATGGTATGTCATCTATACATGCTATGCTTGCTCCCTATAGATCAAAACATTCATTAAAAAAAATTGTAAGGTTCTTTGACACCTGTCAGTGCGCTCAATCAGCAAAGAGTTGTCCTTGCGGTCATGAGTGTTTTTATCAGCAGTTTGAATAGATACATAGTTCTTCGCCCACCAATACTTGGTCAAAATAAATGATAGTGTTCCTTTGGCTACTTCTGGGCATCTGTCACATGTGTGACTGCTCAATCACAGCATACAGAACATGTGTGGCACAGCAGCAACATCACAACAATTTAAGCTTATATATACAAATGTGAGTAATTTAAGTTAAGCACACAGTCAGTTCCAATAAAAAATCCCAAAATTTTCCTCATGCAAGAAAAATATAAACTTAAGCACAATTTGCCTTGCCCTTGCCTCGCCTTGCACACAAGCACAGCACAGTACACATCTGTCATGAAGGCACCCTGTGTGCAGTGGACAGATTATTTACATGCCTGGGCTGGGGTAGAAGCTAGGGGTGGGGTTTCCTACCCTGGTTGCAGGTGTATGAATTTTGCTAAAATTTATTGCTCATGATCCCAAGAGTGCAATTATCATGTGTGATAAACCTTTAAGATTTTCATTTCCATAGTAGAGATCCTGGGTTTAGAAACAGGGCAAGGGTATGCTTACCTATTGTTCAAGGTGGAGGGGGGAGGGGGGCAACAATGTTAGCTGCACTCCCCTCCTCCCACTCTTCCAGATATAAGGCTGGCTTAATGTGGTAAAAGGCAGCATCTTATCCTATCATGTATTATGAACAGAGATATTTAGGGGCAAACTCTGGACTCCTCGAGTGCCAGAAGTTCTCTTCTGTCTTTTTATATAACCTTGGTTCTTCTGCATAGCTGCTTAAGTCCCTTCAGCATATATTTATGGAGTTTGAGATGGTATGATGCCTCCCTCTAAGGGCTACCAGATCAACCACGTGACCCTGCCCCCCCCCCCTCCCCCTCATGTCATCAGAATTACAGCAAAAGTGCACCTGTGCTGGGATGGAATGGTCATTTCACCCTTGACTGATGACAATAATGTGCCCTCTAGTGTTCTTTTCAGGGGGTCTTCTCAGGAAAATAAGTTTTAGAAACATCTCAGAAGTTTTAAATGGAATGGATTGAAATGAGGTCAAGAATGAAAGAAGGCTAGCCCATGATTGCCTGAGAATGCTGATTTTTTGCAACCAGTGAAACGAGTGAAATGGCAAAGCAGTGTTGCTCACAATCTCATGTGCAAGAACTGGGAGGGTCCGGGTTGCTGTTTTTGCGAAACTAACAGCATTGGCCCTTGCGGGTAACACCGGGCACAGGTGCTAGGCAGCTGTCGTGAAATTGTTCCCGATCATTTATCAAAATAAATTTGAATTATTTGAAGATTAGACTGGTGCCTGTTTTTTTCACACAATTTTCAGGATGTCTTCCGGACAAAAAACAATCACAGTAACACAAACAATGGAGATTCTGCATTAACTCTTCCAGTTCCACCTCCAGAGTGCAGCTTACATTGTGGTGCTGTAAAGGTTAATGCATCCTTGTTATCCATATCAAATCGCACAGCTTAAATACATGTCCTGAGTGCTTTCTAAACCTACGCATTAATGTCCTAAAGCGTTCAAAGGCAGTTCTTTCAGATGCACCGTATTTTTCGTCTGCCGTTGGCCATTGCTTAGTAGCGCATCGCTCACCCACGGGTCTGACGCCTCGCGGCCTATGGAGAATGCAAGGTGGGATGTCAAGGCTGTTACTAGGATTTGCGAGGGCACATTGTCAAAACCAAGTTCAGGATTTTTATCAGTAATTGATTGTGACTGAATGTCGAACATTTCAAGACAAACCTGGGTTAGTCGTGTCGATATTCATTTTGGACCCATTTAGATTTGCAATCTACGTTGAGGGATCCTCAAAATCTCTGAAAAACCGAACGAATCAGGCAAAGCTTCTGATTTCTATCGGTGTAGCAAAAGTCCATCGGGTCATCGTAAAATTAAGGGGCCAGTGATCTATTTCATGCAGTCGTTCAATGCCAGATTTCTGCACTTTATAAACTGTAAAATACAAAGAGAATTGATCTTGCGGTAGCTTCCGGGTTCTGTTTCTGTTCTTTTTTCAAGGTAAATATAGCAATAAAACGAGGAAAACTGTGCCGCTTGTTAGCAAACAAGCTATCCCCAGCAATTATTTTTTGGAGGGGTCACCATCAGGGGGGGGGGGGGGGGCTTTTGTCAATTCTGTCCCTCCTTGACAAGGTTTTGGCTGCATCCCTGCCTACATACAATAGCGGATCAAATCGGCTACTTTGAGTGAGGGGCAAATGAATGCCCTGTGGACTCATTCACGCTAAAGACAGGCCGCTTCCTGAAAGTTAATTTTTGGCCGTACTGTGGTGTAAGGAAAAATTATTCGGAAATTGATGCTGTTACATATGTTCACTATATGCTTCACACACCACTAAGCAGTAATGCTGACCCATAAGCATGCAGCAAAGCAGCCATGCGATCACTTCGCAGTTGCCCATGCGGGGGACATCCAGGCCAGGGCAGTGACTCGCCGACGGCGGACGGGTGCAGGGCTCAGATAAGGAATACATTAATGACAGGCCTTCATTCTGTGACTTGGATTTTACAAGAGAACCTCCAGTTTATGGTTTGTCACATTTCTTTTAGCAGTTGGTATTTGAAGTTTCCCAGTTTGCTCCACTAAAAGTGCTGCGACAAATGTTGTTTCTTCGAAAGTCGCCGGCGAAATCAAGGTGCATGAAAACTCATCCACTGTGCGCCGTCGATTCGCATTTAGAATTCTGACGTGCCTGTGATCAGGTCGTATGTTAGCGTCTACACTGTGGAGGCAGATGCCTCCCGACGACCCAAAATCCCTACCCGCGCGTGGAATGTTGCTTCCCCAGGGAAAACAGTGTTGAAGTAAACAAATAATGTTAGGAAACTCGATAGTCTCATTTGCTGAATAGCGCGAATGAGAAATGGGCAAGATTGTGATCTGGTGGGAAACAACTGCAGACGCATGTGTCGCATAGCAACCATGATATGTGATTATTTCCATAATATGCTATGTGAATTAAGAGCGAACAATAACCTCATCCCTAACCCCCCCCCCCCCCTCATAGGCTTGCTCTGCAGTGAAAATTCCTAAAGTATACCCTAAGCCTGCCCCCCAACCACCCCCACATTTTGAAATGTTCCTATGCCTATGGTCTGGATAAGTGTTTGCTGTTACCAGTCCAGGTTTGGAGGACACTGAGAGAACAGTGCCTAATATTCAGGTAAGCATATACTTCACCCCGACTTTGGTCTTTACTGTGGCAGCTTCAGTCTTGGCTAGTTCAGTCATCTCACCCTTCAAATATGTGGCCCTGTCCCTCCATTGCCTCCCCTGGCCATTCTAGCCTGTCCTGACCTCCCCTGGCCAGCCTGTCCCCTCTGACCTCCCCTGGCTAGCCTGTCCCTCCCTGATCTCCCCTGGCCAGCCTGTCCCTCCCTGACCTCCCCTGGCCAGCCTGTCCCTCTCTGATCTCCCCTGGCCAGCCTGTCCCTCTCTGATCCCACTGGCCAGCCTGTCCTTCCCTGACCTCCCTTGGCCAGCCTGTCCCTCTCTGACCTCCCCTGGCCAGCCTGTCCCTCCCTGACCTCCCCTGGCCAGCCTGTCCCTCCCTGATCTCCCCTGGTCAGACTGTCCTTCCCTGACCTCCCCTGGCCAGCCTGCCCCTCTCTGATCTCCCTGGCCAGCCTGTCCTTCCCTGACCTCCCTTGGCCGGCCTGTCCCTCTCTGACCTCCCCTGGCCAGCCTGTCCCTCCCTGACCTCCCCTGGCCAGCCTGTCCCTCCCTGATCTCCCCTGGTCAGACTGTCCTTCCCTGACCTCCGTGACCAGTCTGTCCCTCCCTGACCTCCCTCGGCCAGCCTGTCCCTCTCTGACCTCCCCTGGCCAGCCTGTCCCTCCCTGACCTCCCTCTCCTGGCCGGCCTGTCCCTCCCTGACCTCCCCTGGCCAGCCTGTCCCTCCCTGATCTCCCCTGGTCAGACTGTCCTTCCCTGACCTCCGTGACCAGTCTGTCCCTCCCTGACCTCCCTCGGCCAGCCTGTCCCTCTCTGACCTCCCCTGGCCAGCCTGTCCCTCCCTGACCTCCCTCTCCTGGCCAGCCTGTCCCTCCCTGACAGCAGTCGCCTCCGTCTGACCGCCAGGGGCTGTCATGAGCGCCGAGCGGCTCCGGGCGCCGCCGACGCCTCCGGGCGGAGCGCGGCCCGCCGACCTGGCCGACACGCTGCTACCCCGACTGGGACCGGCTGCGGCTCAGCCTCAACAACGCGCTGGGCGACCTGCTGCACGGCTGGGGCCTGCTGGCGGCCTTCCGGCGGCGGGGCGGCGCGCGCACCCGGTCGCCGGCCGGCTCCGACGCCGCAGCCGCGGCACCCGCGCGGCCCTCGCCACCTGAGACCATCGAGATGGCCTCGTTCAGCTACCGGGTGAGAGGGCCCTTCCTGGCACAGGTGCTCGTTTAGGGCAGGTTCGGTGGTGACTTGTGCATGAATTGATGTGGTGTAGCTTGATTCCAGTGGCTGCAAACATGCGTGGGTTTAATTAAGACTTGTGGCAAATCTGCTTTGTGACTTCAAATGAACGTGACATTAAGGGTGAATCAAAGCTTGCCCCTGAATGACTCGTCCGCTGCGACGTGCATGACTATGCCACGTAAGTGGGGAATGTGGTGTTGTTGACTGTGCCTAAGCTTTAGGTGCCTGTTTGCCTGCCACCGGTTGGCTGCTCTGGCTATGGCCTGGCGTGCCGCCCAGCCGTCGGGGCCGCGCTCTGCCGACGCATGAGGTGCACGCTTCTGTTGCAGGTAGCGCCGAGTAGTCCGCTGGTTGGTGGCGGCACCGCGCTCTGTCGCGTGGCGTCGGCACCAGTAGTTGGTAGCTTGACCGATAGAGGGCAGCAGTGGCGCGAGGTGTCTGACGCGGACAGCGGCGTGTGCGTGGACCGTGACTCGACGGTCGGATCCAACGGTGTGGTGCTCTGGGAAGAGGTTAGTGCGTGCGTCGGCAGATGCCTGCTGAGTGCCCTCACTCCTATGGCTGTGTGGCGTCAGTTCATTGCAATGACCATTTCACATGGAGCTGTCTACTACTACCGGGGCCTCATGTGGCGATAAGACAGCACATTCCACGTGCTGTCATACTGCCACATAAGATGAGCTGTTGCGCACCTGCTTGTTCTTCCGCGAATCGAAACGCCAGTATCATTGTGGCGCCTCTCGTACACGGCTGGGCCGGCCAGCTGGCTTGGGCCCGTGCCGTGACTGTCCTGACGGCGGTCCGCTCGTCGCAGCTGGACGGCAGCGGCAGCGGCGAGGGCCACCGGTTCTCGCCGTCCGACCTGAGCCAGCCCAGCTGGTGCGACTGCTGCGGCGATCTGCTCTGGAGCGACGCCGTCGCCTGCCGCTGTGAGTACCGTTCCCGACCCGGTCGCGGACGCATGCGCCCCCGGCGCAGGTGACGCCGCTGCTTGCGAGGTGCCGCGAGGTGCCCCGCGGTCGGACGGGCTTTCCGCCGCCTGCAGGGCGCAGCGCACCCCTGGGTACCCTGCGAAGGTGGCCGCCGCTCGGTCGGTGCGGCGCACCGCGGGGGGCCCCCCGCGCGCCCTTCGGATTGAACTCGGCTTCCTCCAGCGTGCGGCGTGATGCCGTGCATTGACAGCAGTCCATCCCTGGAGCATGTCGCGGAGTATGCCACACAGGGCCTGAAGGAACGCCCACAGCTCGCCCAGCGCGGCGAGGCTCACCCGCGCGGCGCTGGACTCTACGGACCCTCTCCTCCGCCCTGGCGCACTGCGGCCCGTCCGCCCCAAGGAAGCCGTGCTCGGCCGCGCCAGTGCCGCCGCTCCGGCCACCACGCAAAGGCTTACGGCAGGCCGACTCCCACGCTCCGCTGCGTGCGGCCGGCGGCGCAGCGGCGATCGATGGCGGGCGCGCACTGCCGGCGGCACGTGGCACGGCCGTCCGTCCGGCCAGTGTTCGGCGCCGGCTGGTCCCGGCCGCCGCGTGCCGCCGAGCTCCAGTGCTCCCTGTGCTCACTGCGCTCAGGTGCTGTGGTGCTCCCCGCGCTGCGCTCTGCACTGCCGCCTGCGGTGCTCCCTCGCGGTGCCTGTGCGGGCTTCCTGCCGTACCTTTCCATGCAGATGTTCCCGATTTATTGACGTGAAAGGCGACGTCATCACTGTGCGTACGGTGGCTCCAAATGTATGAAAACCTTAGCCGTGCAGCAGTTTGGAATTTTATGATTTGATACAGAAAACGGCAGTCTGGTGCGAATTACATATTGCTCTTTGAGGTACCTTCTGTTCTGTCTGATGTAGTGGAATATGCTAGTTATTACTTTCCATGACACACGATTAGAACGAACCGTATTTGCAAATTTCAACGGAATATTGTGGTGTTTAGGCTAAATGTAATCAGCTGAAGTCAGCCGTCTATGTTGGCCAGACCTGCCCGCCGTCGCATCCAATTTTGTGCCTTCCAGCTGGCCTGATGTCTAGTGGTGCATGCCAGGTTCCAGGGAGGCTATTCGTGATGCTCTGGGCTGATGCCCGCCGGACTGGTGTGGCGCCTACTAGTCCGTTTCATGGGCGGTCCCCACGAGAGTCCGAGCTAAAGCTTGCCCAGTCTGGGGCCCAGGTGAGCCGCTTGCCGATGCTCTGCAATCCACGCCGGGCTCCCGTGAACTAGCCTTGGGAAGGCTCGGAGATTGCACTATCTTACGGAGAAAACGGCTTCCTGGCGCCAGTTTGAGACTGGAATTCTCGGACGTCATATCGGCAGCGGTGTAGTCCTCGGAATCCTCGCGCCGGCTGCTGAGGAATGACCTGATGCTCGCTCTCCATGGGTCGATCTCGCTGTCCGGGAGTCCAGATCGGGCGCTCTGTACGGCGCGAACGACGTACACACGGCAGTAGGACGGACAGGGAGCGCCGGAACCCTCGCCGTCAGTGGAGCCAGACCGCGCTCGTGTGCGTCGGCGCCGGCACGGGCCGGTTCAGTGCTGCGCCGGCCGGCTGTCACCGCCGCTGCCAGTTACGGTGACCGGCGCTCATAGTTGCGCCGTGACTGACGCGGCTGGCGTCACGCTCGTCGTGGTCATAGCAGTGCGTCGATCGCACAGCTCACCAGCCACCCGGCGAAAGGGCCGGCTCGATACAGCTCACCAGTTACTGAGAGAAAGGCGCCGATACAGCTCACCAGCCACCCGGCCAAAGAGCCGGCCCTATACAGCTCACCAGCCACCCGGAGAAACGGCCGGCTCGATACAGCTCACCAGTTACTGAGAGAAAGGGCCGATACAGCTCACCAGCCACCCGGCCAAAGGGCCGCCTCGATGTGGAGGGTTCGGCTGTTTCCTACGGTATTGCCTGGACACGTGTCTGATAGCAGTAAACTGACGCTGAATATTGGATGTTTTCGCAAAATTTTCGTACGATTACCTGTTAGGTGTCGTCACAAACTTCACGTCCGTTTCGGAGACGGGATCAATAGCGATAGCATGCGTCATAGCCTCTATGTTGTGGCGCATATGCTGAGTCAACATCGTCAAGACTGCTCCTTTCAAGTCGTGTACACCTTTCAAGTATTGTGTGCCCCAAACGAACAACGTAACGAACAGTCTCTATTCTTGTCCCAAGTTCTAGCATCTTCCGCTGTGCCCTCCCTTGGGGGCCATCTAATTAACTTGTCCCGGGTTACCGTGTGGTCTTAGCACGCTATCCGTTGCGCCGGAGACAGCGGTTATTGGGTTACGTAACCGGGTGCGTCTGTTGTTGCGGTCTGGTCGGCCAGGTGATGCGTTTGATTGCTGGCAGCTGTCCTGCGCATATGCTGCCCTCCGACGCCCCCTGACGGTTGGGGCTGCACGGTGGGGAGCGGCTCGGCGGCGCCCGCGCAGGGGGAGGGACCATCGAGCCGAGCGTCGTCTCGGGGGTTTCAAAGGCGCAACTTTTGAATAAGTTGCGTCTTTGCCATGACTTTCAGAGATTGCCTTCAGAAGCAGGCACGCCACATGCTCGAATGCATTGCGTGAGCGTGTGTGTGGACGCCCAGGCGCGCGACTGGCGCAGTTGTCACGAAAAGCGTCGTCTTGAAGTGAGTCATCCCTCATCAGCACGTGGCCCGCCTCCTCTCCTTCTCCCAGCCTGAGTCCTGCGCTCTGCACGGTGGCCGGCGGCGCCGCGCGAAACGCCAGCGTTAGCCGCCCCATTCCCGACAGCGGAGAGCGACCCACGACAGCGGACGAAGCCACCGGCCGCGCGGGCCGCGCGCTGTGATGGGTCTCTTGGAGAGCAGCTACGAGCCGGCCGAGGGCGGCGGCCGACCGCCGGGGCCGGCGCCACCCGCCGCCGCGTGGCCGTCGAAGCGCGCCGGCCGGCAGCGCTGGTCGTGTGGCGCGCTGCCGCTCACGCAGCCTGCACCGGCGCCGCGTCGTCTCGATGCTTGTGGGGCCCGCGGCCGCCGGAGCCGGCCGGCCGCAGCCGGTCGGCCGAGGGGTGGCCGCGGCGCCGGGCCGCCAGCCGCCAGCGGCCCGGCGCGCTCCGCCCCGGCCACGCCCACCGTGCCCGGCGCTGATGCAGCCACCCGCCCGAGAGCGCGCCGCACGCACGCTACTCTGCCGCACGCTGCGCCGCCTGGCCGGCGACATCCGCGGCCTGCTGGAGAGCGAGACGGCGCCGGCGGCGGAGCGCCGCCCGAGGAGCGGGCCGGCGACGCAGGCGACGCGGCCCGGCCGGCGGAGGCTGCCGCGTGGCGAAGGGAACCGGCGGAGCTTGCGGAGGAGGCGTGCGCTGAGCCGACACCGAGCGCGGCCGACACGCCGCCTGACAGCCGCGGCGCCGGGCGCGCGTCGCCACGCGCCGAGTGCGGTGCCGGCCGCGGGCGGCGCCGGCCCTGGCCGCCCGCCAGCAGCTGCCGGGCCCGAAATACGGAGCGGCCGGCGGCGGCGCGCACGTGCCGTTGACGCAGCATTCGCCCGACCGGTGTCCTGTTCGCCGACTCCGGTGACGATGTGCTGCGGATGCTGATGGACTGCGAGCCGCCGGCGGCGCCGACCGAGGCGCCGGCCGAGGGCGGACCTGCCGGCGGACGACGCGGCCGGCGCCGGGAGCCCGCTGCCTCCACCGCGGCTCGACTCCTGCGCTGAGGACCTCGCCGCGGCGGCCCGGCCCGCCGCCGGCGCCGCTGAGGAAGTGTCGGATGTGCGTGGCCCGGCCGTGGGCGGCCGCCTGGACCCGGCCGCGACCGGCGAGACGGATACGGTGCCGCCGCAGGACGCGGTGCTGGACGGATCTGGAACTGGAGCCGGACGTGAACGTGGACGTGGGCGTTTTCCGCGCGCGGCGGACGTGGACGACGGCGGCCCGGTGTGGTCTGCTGGCCGACGCGCACGCGCTCTGGCAGGACGGCGACGACAGCTGGGGCACTGTCAGAGCCGCGCCGTCGCACAAACGGCAGCTCCGGTAAGTTCCGTGGAGGCCGCCCGACGCTGCTGCTCCGGCCGGGGCGCGGCTGCTCTCGGCTCAGGTGCTGAGAGGCCCCTCTCTGCTCACCGTGGCGCCGGTTCGACTTGCTGCGCATAGTGCGGTGGTTGGTTTGGTGATTGACAGCCGACCTGGCCGTCTGGATCCAGTTCTTGGCAGTGCTGCTTCTGATGTGGACTCTGGCATGACCCGGTGTCGCTCGACGTTGGCTCCGGGTGATCAGGCTGGTGTCGGGTGTGCCGCCTGGTCCCCGATACCAGCGAGGTCCACCCAGGGGCGCACCGGGTTTTGTGACTAGAGGACTTCCAGGATTGGCCACGCTGCGTTGCGGCGTGCTGGACATAGCGCACCTTCCTACAGGCACCACGGAACTTTCCCTCGAGGGCGAGCTGACTACCACGCCCTTGAAAACCCTCTATACTTTGGGGTCAATTACCAGAGCAAATGTCAGCATTGATTTGCCGAACAGCTGGCCTACACTGATAAACAAATTAGCCACGCCGTCATAAAACCTGACTGAATACCGTCGTGAAAACAGTTGCGGTCCGGGGGCAAGCCGGAATCGATCGCCGGATGGACGCCACGTCCAAAGCCAGGGCCGGTTTCGGCGGCGGCCGGGCCGATCTTTTGCCCGAGGCTCTGTGGTGACGTAACGATATCCCCGCCGAGGCTGGCTGGCCGTAGACAGGCATCGCTGTGATGCACGCCCGTGTGGCATACGATAGCCATGTGGATTGGCAGGGGCGCAGTCAGGATCTGCGAGAATGGAGGAGCAGTTTTTTAGCGAGCTCAAGCTCCATTCAGGGTATTTACGCATTGCAAACCGACGACAGGTACATGCCTCATTGGGCAAGTATACTGGGCGGTGCAAGCAAGGTTTCTCATGCAAGGTGTCATTCAGGCTGCCGTAGAACTTTTACAAAG